TTCTGTTCTGTTCTGTTCTGTTCTGTTCTGTTCTGTTCTGTTCTCTATTGGGTACAACATAGGTTCAAGGAAATGTGGAAGGTCAATGCACAGAGTGCCTCTTTTATCCTGGGGACTAGGTTTATTCAATTACAGCTCCTGGTTTAATTGAGCCATAGGAGATGGTCAAAAGGGCCCCAGTTTACTTAGAGATGGAATTCATCCAGGAAAAGTAGAATAAGCTTTGAATAAATAATGAAAAATAACTGAAGATAAAATTCTGTTTTCCTCCAAGTCTCATCAAAACCACAGTCATGCATTGTAAATGAATGATGGAGGATGGGCAAGAAATGATAAAAACTACTATCCTATCAAAAAGAATCCAAACTAGCAGAGAGGAGATTTTGACAAATGAGGTATCCTTCCAACCCTGCCTCTCTAGTGTAAAATGAGGTTGAGGGAAGAAGAGGGCACCTCTGTTTTAACTTGGCTAGAACATCCTCATTTAGTTGGATGTGTGCAGAGAGTGTCTGGATCCCCACCTCTCAGGGATACCTATACTGGATGATCTAGGTGGTCCTTCCCAACTAATTTATTCCATGTTTTGAGGATATTTAGGAAAGGAAATAAGAATTCATGACCTCCAGAAAATGCAATCTTTTACAGAGTAACCTATCTAAAGGAATTTCCCATCATATAACAACACAGCAGCTTCGGGTTTCTCCCTAGATCCACTTAGTGACAGCAAGTGTCTACAGGCATTGTCTCACTTTGGAGACATCATTATATTTACTTGTATTTTCCTAAGATTTCACTGAAAATGTTTCAAGGAAATTTGACATCTGAAAAGGCGATCATCCTCACTGTGAACCCATCTCTGAGTTGCCAACAGATGTGCACTGCTAAATATTGAGTGAGCTGAATTATTTGCAGAACAGAGTAGCTTATTTGTATTTCCCACTGATGGAGAGAGTGTATTTCGTGGCATTCGTATTAGTATTAGTCTTGCCATTATTATTATTCCAATTCTGTCGCTGCCCATCTTGTGGAATCAACTGTGGGCAACTAACAGCAGAGAAAATCATCTTCTAAATAACAACCCAGAAAAGCAATACTGTATATCAAATCCATACAACTGATGAGTTGAAACCAATCTAATAAAACAAAGAAGACCCTGCAGGATCAGATATTTCTACTTTGCCTTGATTTCTTTCATTCTGACTTTTCAACTTGGACGTGTAAGTGTAACTCAACTGTGTCTTACAAATCATGAATTAGGGCTTGGTCTGCATTCACTTGTTTTGGGTTTCTTCAAAAGAACATGGTCAAAGTACAAATTATGGAGCCAATGTCCTGAAGTCATATGTGTCATCTTTTTCATGTTCAATGTCTAACAGGCTCTTTAAATTATTCTCAGTGCATGTTTTCTTTCTTTTCAGGCCACATCCACCAATACAAAGTGTGAGCACTTTCCTGAATCCTTTCTAATCAATTTCCCTCCATTCATTAGAGGGAATAAAAATGATCTTCCTCTCACTGTGTGTCTTGTACAGTACTAGACCGCCGTGTCTTCTGCTTTCTGCGGCTAAATGTGGTGTCTTTCCTAGCAGTCCTGAGATGTAATTCTTCCCTCTCTGTGGAATTTCCTTCCGGGTTTTTGTTCTCGTGTACTGAATGTAAGGTTTGCCCCATTCGACAGAGAAACTCCCGTGACACGAGTGGTTCACAAAAGAGGTTTACTCATGCATAACGTAGCAGTCACAAGCAAAGCCAGGACTGGCTTGGTACAGTTGCATCACTCGTTATATTCCCCCCTTCCCGTGCTTTTTTCGCCCCACGATCGCGTTACCGCTGCGGATTATCGGGCCCCAATAATCCCTCTTGATTGTCCAT